TCTTTGCAAATCTTTGCTATAGCATTCATTTCCTACAAATTGAAGAATTTTCAACTAATGAATTTTTCCTTTTTCAATGGATCAGGAAGCGGATTCAGTCTGTCTTGTTCAGGGAGCTTCAAAGGATGTGCATTCTACTTTCTAGTTTCTACCCTTGTCTGGATTTAAGTGTGATTGTTGTACTTTCAATTTCATACTGTGTGTGTGAATAATTGTGTTGGAAACGGGCTTCAAAGAATGTGCTTTAAATGTACATATAAAATATGTTGTCAATCCAATCTTTGATGATTTAAGCCTACATTGAAATTCTCACCCAGAACAATCAAATCAACAATTAATTCTCTTCTTCTGTTCTGTTAGTGTGGTAGCTTCCTGCTCAACAGAACTACAGATGGCAAGGATTCAATTGTTTGATTTTAAAGGTTCAGAGAACTTTTGCAAGCCCATCATAAAGGTTGAGACTCTCTTTCTTTTTTTTGTAAGCACCCTGGTCGTAGGAACTCACATTTTTTATGGTTTGGTGGGAACTGTCACAAGATCATCGTATATCCAAAAGAATGGTGGGAATTGTTGGAGTCTCACCATTCCAATTTCTAGGATGTTCTTTGACCCTTCTGTAACTTCTATCTTCATGAATTAGCTGAAGAATATGATCATAATGAATGGAAATGAACAAGCAGAGAAGATCTAGACTATGAGGAGACCATTTTTTATCACTCTGCAACAAGCTTGTCTCCACCATGACTTCTTCCCTCGATTTGGACAAGGTTCTTTCTCTCCATCTAAATTTTCTGTTTCAATTTCTCCAACTTTGTCTCGCTTTGGATTGTTAATTCTATGTGAGTTTCTTTAATATTGAACCAGATTCCTCAAACCTGGAAGAAGTTTTAAACTCTAGTCACTTGCATCTAGAAAAAGTAGCAAACAAGCTTGAATTGTTTAATTGTTTAATTGTTTCATATGAATGATGTGTGTAGGCAAGTTTGAATTCTGCTTATTTCATCACAGAAAGAGCTTTGTTATTTTGTAATCAAATTTACCATTCGTATAAGGTCTTTGAGAGTCCCATGCAAAACATCTTGCTTATTTATTTCTAGCTACAAACTGTTCTTTACAAAATTTCATTTTTTTTGGTGAACACCACACATAAATTCATTCAGGGCTTCTTGGAGGAAGCATTCAACTATTTATGTCATTGCCCTTTTACTTCATCTGCTATCTATATCAAATATCACTAGTAAACCTTATTCACGTTCTATGTATATGCCTTAGTCAACATGTATCATCATCCTTTGGCCTGCTATAAGCTTGAAGTCATATAAATCTTATTATCTAAGCATTGTGCCATACCCATTGATTTACAGTAGCATTAACAAGAATTTGATTTAAAAAAAAAAAAAAAAAAAAACCCTTGTATATGCCTCATTGCATTGCTTTCGGGCACTAAATGGGAAGTTATTGAATATGAGAGACAGAAATTCAAGGAGAAACGTCAAGAAGGAACCAAGGAATCTTTACGAAGAAGATACAGCAGCCAGCTCTAAAGGATGCCATTAAGGGTGCAGATGTTGTGTTAACATTGTTGACTGGTGCATTTTCTTGCAAACTGGAGAGAACTTTATTGGGTTTGGTTATAATTGATGAAGCTGCTCAGACACTTGAAATAGCATGCTGGATAGCTCTACTAAAGGTAATGATGTGCTGAAAGTACCTACAAAGCTCATCCCCTGATAAAGTGATATTAGTTGCACCTGCCATTCTTATTCATGTTTTAAAGATCGAGATGTATCCTTTTAAGAGACCATCTTCAGCTTACCTGAGACGAAGGGGTGGGAAGAACCTGTATGGATATGAAATTAGGTCTATGATCGTTGTAATCAAATTGATTATGATCATTTACTGACCTAAGTATATATGAAAACAATAATCCAAATTAATTTGCCTGCACAGCCCACAAATTTTAGGATGAAGGATACCCTGATACAATCAAGGGTGTGCTGCTGAATGAGTTCCTGTTATGTCTGGAGAAAGATCGTCCATGTTCACGGGCCCCTCAAACTCTGATACATCTTGATTCCCTCGCGGGTGTGATTATTTAGCAAATCTTGATTTGGTCTTGTTTGGTTCTTTTGGCTTCGATGTCAATAACAACCTACCATATTTGTC